TTCCAAATAATGACAAAACGTGGCTTTGAGAAAATTAATTACTTTGATAAAATTTATTTGAAAATGGATATTTTCATTTGTTTGCCCGATTTATTCCAAGTGTCGAAATATTTAAAGCATTGTATAACTCTTTTTAAAATATACTATTTCAGGTAGAAATTTTTGGGCGTTTTGTAAGACATATTAAAAATTAAAAATTTTGTCCCGGGGCCTCCACCATTTTTTATTTTCCAAAAATTTGTCAACTCTGTCTTAAAATAACGAGATTCTGATCAGAAATGTTCCCAAAATTGCAAATTTTTGATTACTTCGTCGGTATTTTTCCAAATAGTAGCAAAAGCCAGGTTTTGAGAAAATAATTTAGTTTGATAAAATTTACCCGAAAATGGGTTGTTTCTCTCAGTTCAAAATTTCTGTTTGTTAGTCTATTTAGTCAGACGTAAAGATCTTTAGAATACTGTGGGACTGTTTCCAAAATATGCTATTTTACTTTGAAATTTCGGTCTCTTAAAAGATACAGATAAAAATTAATTATTTTCCCGGCGCCTCCACCATTTTGCCATTTTTCAAAAATTCGTCAAATCGGTCTAAAAATAAAGATATTCTGATTAGAAATGTTTCTAAAATCGCCAATCTTTGACTATTTTCTCAGTATTTTTCTAAATGATGGCAAAACGTGGTTTTGTGAAAATCATTTAATTTGATAAAATTTATTCGAAAATAAATCGTTTCTCATTGTGTCGAAATATTTAAAGAATTGTATATAACTGTTTCTAAAAGATGCTATTTCACATAGAAATAGAAGAAAAACTAATTATCATTCCGACCTCTCCACAATTTTTAAAAAAATTTTCCAAATTTTTCAAATCGGCCTTTTTGGTCGAACATTTACGAACCTGGAGAATCTGTGGTTGTTTTCTTTTTTAAATAACAACGAAAAACACATTTTAACGAAAATGATTAAATTTGGTTAAATTGTTCGCAAAAGCGTTGTTTCTTTTGGTCCAAAATTTGTGCTTATTCACTCTATAATTTTTTCGTAATCTGTTAGTTCAAATAATGACAAAAACGTGGTTTTGAGAAAATTACTTGCTTTGATAAAATTTATTTGAAAATGGATATTTTCATTTGTTTGCCCGATTTATTCCAGGTGTCGAAACATTTAAAGCATTGTATAACTCTTTTTAAAATATACTATTTCAGGTAGAAATTTTTGGGCGTTTTGTAAGACATATATTAAAAATTTAAAAATTTTTAAAATTAATTTTTGTTCCGGTGCCTCCACCATTTTTATCCACAGTCTTAAATTGGTCCAATTGGTTTACAAAGGAGTTATCACGACCGGAAATTTTCACAGCTTGGAAAATCTGAAACTATTCCTTTGGATTTTTTAAATATCCGGGAAAATATATTTTTACGAAAATTATTACCGTGAATTTTTCTTGGTTCGAAATCTGCACTTTTTTCTTCAAATATCAATTTTCTATTAAAACATATCGCTACTGAAGAAATCGATCCAAATTCAAGTTTATAAGTAGTCATAAATATCAAAAAACATGAATGTCGTAATATTAGGAAGCAGATCAACCTGTTATAGATAAAAACCAATTCAAATGAGATGTTTTTATGGCTTGGTGGATTAAACTTTTAGCTCATTACAAGAGAGATACGAACTATACGACGAAGCCATAAAAACGAATTTGATTGCCGTTATCAAATCGATGAGTTTGTTTAATTTATGTGCTCGAGACAAGATTTTTCCTAGATTTGTTATAGTTTTAAGAGTCTTTAAGAGTGATCATTTAATCAATAAAATTAGTAAACAACTACCCCACCTCGACTATGTAAATTAGGAATTCTGTTGATTGAAATACGAAACAAACGCAAGAAAAACAAAAATTGCAACTACTTATAAGTAGTTTCAGTTATGTAATAATGATGTCGGAAATAGTGTTTGATTTTTAATATTTATTTTAACTGTGTGTATTCCTGTAATGTAAATACTCGCATTAGAATGTTAGATTGTATCGAAGTAGGACTACCATAATAAACTGAATTTTTTTGCTTAACACTGAATTTTGTTAAGTTCATTAATAGTAGCACCTGAACTAACCAGAAAATTATGATGGATTGTGAAAGGCGGTCATTTTATGGTGACAAGTTTATAATACTTATTCTAATTTGTTTAACATGTTAAATTGGCACTCACCTGCGGTAACGACGCACACAGGCAATTTTCACGGTTCCTCTTCGCAACGAAATTAAGCAATTTTCCATTGGGTTATTTAAATTCGCCGAATCACTTGTCAACTCTTTAAAAAACGCGTTACAATTAAACCGGCGATTGTGACACGGCCGGTGGAAGCGGTCCGGCCTGACCTACATCCCGACGAGATTTTTTATTCAAATCAGATAAATAAACCAGCAATAAAAGTAACTCGTTACGCAACGTCGCGCCTAATTTCGCGATTGTTCTAATCTCCGCCAGCCGATTAATAATTATCCGCGACGCTCTAACGAAATTTCCATAAGCGACAAACAAGCCCGAATTAAGAACGTGAGGTCACGGGAATTTTAATAAGTTTCAATAAGTATTTTAATTTGCCTTTTACAGAGAAGTTTTTAATGCTGTTTAAAACTTTATATACGCCTCCCTTCTTCGCCGAAAACCCAAATATGAGGCTTAAATTCTGTTGCTTTTAATGGACACAAATTTAAAATAACCGGCTCCGCGTAAAAACGCGATTAAATTTTTATGCGTTTAGGCTTTTCGGAATATCTAAAAGCAATAGCAGACAATAAGGCTTTATTATCGCTTCGTTTGCATAGAAAGCGTTTTTCTTTAATTCGCAGACGGCTTTTACAAGCGATGAAAATTAATGGCGGGTCGGCCGGCGGAGAGTGGCGGCGTTGCACTAATGACGGGGGCGGCTGCAAACACGATCACAAGTAACGTCACATTTTTGAATTTTCGAAATATCGGGAATAAATTGTACTAAGAAAGCAGCTCGCGTTTTAATTAAGCGGTGCGAAAACAAGTTCCTTATCTTGTGTGCAGTTCCATTAAGATAGTGGTAATTGCTGCACCGACGTGTACCTAAATGCCACTTTTCTACTTCTTAATGTCTTTATATCACACGTCGGCGTTTTTCCGCTGCTGAAAAGCGAACACGAGAAATTAATTTCCAGAGAAATTGGCACATGCAAAGATATAATTTGTAAAGTTCGCTGAACTTGCATGGCGCCCTGTGAAAATATAATTATAGTGCATGTTGTTTTGGTCGATGTAAATGAGGCTAGCCTGGAATTAAATATACTTTTGTTGTTCTTTTTTTAATTAGAGTCGGGGTGAAAACGCTCCGCGATAGACCCCTTGGCGGTAATTAGCAATTTTACAAAATTTGGAATTTTAATAAGTGTGTGTTGACGTCAAGTTTATGGATTTGAGTCAGTGTCGAGGTCTGCGATGAAAATTACGTGTGCGGAAAGTCAAGGTTGGATTCGATGTCGTGCACAAAAAATGCGCTCTTCTAAACAAATAATAATAGACTTGATATGGTCTGACTTAACCTGAAATGACTTATTATTCCTGACCTGATTTGATCTGACCCAACCTGACCCAACTTGTGCTGCTCCAACCCAATCTGGCCTGACTTGACCTGACCCAATCTGATTTGATTGGACCCGACCCAGCCTGATCTGATCTGATTGCAAGCACTGAAATTAATCTGACCTGACTTGCTCTTTCCCGACCTGATTTGACTTGTTCTGACTTGACCTGGTTTGACTTAACCTAATCTGATTTAATTTGGCCCGCCCCGATCTGACTTGATCTAACCCAAGCCGACCTAACTTATGCTGATCCAATCCAACCTGACCCAATCTGATTTGATTGGGCCCGACATATATCAGAAAAAACTTGATCTCCAATAAATTCAATTAAAATTATTCCGTTCTCAGAAAATTAAAAAGGAAATCATACAAAAAAACCTTAGTACTGTCCTCCCATTCCTTTCTCTTCCTCTCTTCTTGATGGTTTTTCGTTATAAACCACGATGGAGTTAAAACTAGTAAAAATTAACTGCTGGCGGTTTCTCTTGTGTGTAAGCCGCGCCGCAATCTTTCCCCTGCATAAATAAAATAAGTAGTTTCTTAAACAAGATTTCCGGGAGCATTGGAAAATTACATCTCCGACGAACCTATTTCCCAAATGTGTTGTTAAGCGACCCAATTTGTTCGCGCGAACAACTGGGACCCTTATTAATTAAAAAAATTCCGACGTGATTCCGAGTTAAATTTTCGCGGCGTATTATAGTAATTACTAAAATGGCCGTATAATTCCCGGCAATAATTCCTAATTATCTCGTCGATGTCGTTCCCGGCGAAGTTTTCGCCTCCGATCGATCTTCTTGGAAATTTTATTGGCAGCTTGTAAGTTTGAAAGTTTATCGCAAACAGAGTAGATTGCTTACCAAAAAGCTGGCAGGTAGGTATCTCCGGCGTAAGCTCTCCTTGATGATCGTTTAAGCTCCTCCGAAATAATTTCGATATTGCTAAACTTGAACGGGATCGTACTTTTTCGAGACAGATTATGAGTCGGCGAGAAATGGGGAAATTAATTTGACTTTATGAGTATATCCGGTTAACGAAGGCGTGATTGTTATTTCGAGGGCGAAGTAGACGGGAAATAACGAGCGAAGACAATGCCGGAAGGGCCGGATTTTAGATTTTTTGATGAGGCCAGGTTCGGGCGGAATGCAGATCCGGCTTTACGAGCGTGCAGGTGAAACTGCAGGGCTTTTAGCGGCGCCTGGAACACCACATTTACCAGCACATTACGGCTTTTACGCAAAATTCCTCAATTTATTTATTGCTTAAGGGTGAACGTTCGGATGGCGTGCACGAAAATTAATATCAACGCTGTGTTAATTCGTGGAGTTTAATTTCAAATTTCAAATAATAATCGTCCGTGTAGCTTTTGGGATTTTTGAAAAAATTGCAGGTGAAAACCTGTATATAATAATATTTCATCAATCATCCGTGTCCAGTGCCACGCCCCCTAAGCATGTCCACCCACACCGCACATTACACCGACCCGCTCCAATGCAGGTTAACTGTACCACTTTTGAAACCCGCTTGTCGCTGAAGTAACGCCGACAAACTGGTATCCGCAAAATAACTATTGACCTTAGCAAAGGCGTAGTCATTGTGTAACTCCCGGCTTCGCCCCGAACCCGTGCCGGGTATAAAAAGACGACAATTTTAATCCAAAAGCATAATTCACTCGATCCCAACAGAAGCAACATGGCATTCAAGGTAAACACGGCGAACGCCGAAATTAATCCAAACACTAACCAAACAATTACTTAGCTCGTAGTTCTGGCCGCTTTCGTGGCCGTCGCCAACGCCGGCCTCATCGGCGCCCCCGTGGCCTCGTACGCCGCCGCCCCCGTGGCCGTCGCCAAGACGGTGGTCGCCGACGAGTACGACCCGCACCCACAGTACCAGTACGGATACGACGTGCAGGACGGTCTGACCGGCGACTCCAAGAGCCAGATCGAGAACCGCTCCGGGGATGTCGTCCAGGGTAGCTACTCGTTGGTGGACCCCGACGGCACCAGGCGTACTGTAGAGTACACCGCCGATCCCGTTAACGGTTTCAACGCTGTCGTGCACAAGGAGCCTCTGGTGCACGCCGCCCCCGTCGCTAAACTTGCGCACTTTTAAGGCGTGGAAGTGATTATTGTACATAATTTTTTATTTATTTAGAAAAATAAAGTAATACCTGATGGATAGTATTTTTTTTGTTTTGTTTTTGAACTCTTTTACGCGAAATTACAAAGTTCGTTATTTCTTTAGAAGAACTTGCCTCGCTTCTGAAGCACAAGTAAGCCCCGAAATTTGGAATGTAAAAATTTGTCTAAAGTTATTTAGTCAGGATTTCCCTTAGCCCCGGTTCAGTACAGGAAACCAAGTTTAATTATTTTTTAGAAAATTTGTAAAATTTGTGTCTGCGGAGTTTATTTTTTTGTAATGAAAGTTATTGTAATAAAGAAACTAAAGATCACCAAGATTCTTTCATGGTCTTTCAAAATCAAAATACAAAGTGCCCCCAAAATTTTCCAACGTTATTTAAAACAGAAAGACACTAAAGTCTTAAAAAACACAAGTTGCCCTCGAGATTCTTTCAAATTCTTGTAAAAATAAGCCACAAAGGCTCATCGCTTGCGGTTCATGTTTTCAGAAAGAATTCCAAAATTCTTTCAAACTCTTTCAAAATCAAAACACAAGGGGCTACAGAGAATCTTTCACATCCTTTAATAAATGAAAGATAATACTAAGGACTCCTCAAGATTCTTTCAACGTGTTAAAAGACCACAACATTCAGCCGAGATTTTTTCAAACTCTTTAAAAATAAAACACAAGGGGCCTCCGGAATTCTTTTACGTTTTTTCAAAAGGAACACACTAGAGGGCCTCAAGATCTTTAACAATTTTTAAAAAAGAAAAATACCAGAGGTCTCCAAGTTTCTTTTAAACATTTTCAAAATCAAAGCAAAAGACTCCCGAAAATCTTTCAAAAATAAGAGAATAAGAGGCCTCAATATTTTTTTAAACCCCTTCCAAATGAAAACACACAGGATTCCAGAGAATCTTTCACATCCTTCGAAAAGAAAAAATACTAAGTCGACAAGTTTTTTCAGTCTTAAAATAACAAAAGGTGCCCCGAGATTCTTTCAGAAATAAAACAAGGGGCCTCCAAAATCTTTTACATTCCTTGAAAAAGAAACACAAAAGAAGGAGAGAAGGAAAGAAGGAAAGAGGGAAACAACGAAAGAAAAAAAAAAGAAGGAAAGAAAGAGACTAGGGGTTCAACATTCTTTCAAACTCTTTCAAACACAACGGGTTCCAGAGAATCTTCCGTTTCCTTTGAAAAAGAAAAAATATTAAGGAGCCCCCCCAAGATTCTTTCAAAATTTAAAAAACATAACTCTTTATATTAAAAAAAAAAAAATACTAAGGACTGCCGAAACTCTTTCCATTCTTCAACAAAGAAACACACTAGGGAACCCCAAGATTCTTTTACATTCTTTAAAAAAGAAAGATCTTACAATTCCTCAAGATTTTTTCAATCTTTTTCAAAGTTAAGACACAGATGATCTTTTAAAATCAAAACACAAGGAGCTCCCGAGAATTTGTCATACTCTTTAAAAAAGATGGATCCCAAGATGCTTTCAAAGTCTTAAAAAAAATAGAAAGCGCTCCCGAGAATCTTATAAATTTTTTCAAAAACAAAACACCAGAAGTTTTAAAATTTTTTTTAAATTCTTACAAAATGAAAATTCAAGGGGTTGTAGAGAATCTTTTACATCCTTTGAAAAAGAAAAACACTAAGGAGCTCCCAAGATTCTTCAAAATCTTAAAAAAAAAACACAAGGTGCCCTCGAGATTCTTTCAAAAATAAAACACAAGAGGCCTCCAAAATCCTTGATATTTATTCTTTAAAAAAGAAACACATTAGGGAGTGGCGATGAAGAAAGAAAGAAGAAAAGATAAAAGAAGAAAATGAAGATGAAGCGAAGGAAAGAAAGAAAGAATAAAAGATTTAATGAAAAAAAAGGAAGGAAAGAAAGAAGGAAAAGAAGAAGGAAGGAAAAAACGAAGGAAAGAAGGAAGGAAAGGAAGAAGAAAAGAAAGAAGGAAAGAAATAAGAAAGGAAAGAAAGATAGGCAGAAAGAAAGAAAGACCGTGGAGAGAGAATTTCTCATATTCTTTAAAAAAGATGCATCCCAAGATGTTTTCAAAGGGGCCAATTCCAAGTTGGTGGCGCAAGTCACTGGTGCAGCGCAACTTTATAATGCTAACTTGGGTATCAAATGCTGGTTGCTAGGGGTGACGGAATCAACAAACGCAGTTTTGTCGAACTTTCCATTGAAATTTGCACCATGGAGTTGCGGCACCTCTAGTAGGCAGTGCAAGTTGGCGCAATTTATCTCGAAAAATTGCGCTTGTTTATTCCGTCACCCCTAGCAACCAGCATTTGATACCCAAATTAGCATTATAAAGTTGCGCTGCACCAGTGACTTGCGCCACCAACTTGGAATTGGCCCCAAAGTCTTAAAAAGAATATAAAGTGCTCTCGAGAATCTTTCAAATTTTTTCAAAAACAAAACACCAAAGTTTCCAAGATTTTTTAAATTCTTACAAAATGAAAATCCAAAGGGTTATGGAGAATTTTTTACATCCTTTGAAAAAGAAAAATACTAAGGAGCTCCCAAGATTCTCCAAAACCTTAAAAAAACACAAGGTGCCCCCGAGATTCTTTCAAAAATAAAATATAAGAGGCCTTCAAAATCCTTGACATTCTCTAAAAAGGAAACACATTAGGGGATGGTGATGAAGAAAGAATGATAGGAAGAAAGAAGGAAAGAAGGAAGGATAAAAGAAGGAAATGAATATGGAACGAAGGAAAGAAAGAAGGAAGGAAGAAGGAAGGAGAGAAGGAAGGTACCAAAGAAAGAAGTAAGAAAGAAATAATGAGAAAAAGGAGGAAGGAGGAAAGAAAGAAAGAAAGAAATAAAGAAGGAAAAAGAAAGAAATAAGGAAGAAAAGAAAGATACGTAGAAAGAAAGAAAGACCGTGGAGAGAGAATTTGTCATAGTCTTTAAAAAACATGGATCCCAAGATACTTTCAAAATCTTAAAAAGATTAGAAAGTGCTCCCGAGAATGTTTCAAATTTTTTCAAAAACAAAACACCAGAAGTTTCCAAGATTTTTTTAAATTATTACAAAATGAAAACTCAAGGGGTTATAGAGGATCTTTTACATCCTTTGAAAAACAAAAATACTAAGGAGCTCCCAAGATTCTTCAAAATCTTAAAAAAAACAAGGTGCCCCCGAGATTCTTTCAAAAATAAAATATAAAAGGCCTCCAAAATCCTTGATATTTATTCTTTAAAAAAGAAACACATTAGGGGATGGCGATGAAGAAAGAAAGGTAGAAAGAAAGAAGAAAAGATAAAAGAAGAAAATGAAGATGGAGCGAAGGAAAGAAAGAAAGAATAAAAGATTTAATGAAAAAAAAAGGGAGGAAAGAAAGAAGGAAAAGAAGAAGGAAGAAAAGAAGGAAGAAAAAAGGAAGGAAAGAAAGAAGAAAAGAAAGAAGAATAGAAAGAAGGAAAGAAATAAGAAAGGAAAGAAAGACAGGCAGAAAGAAAGAACGACCATGGAGAGAGAATTTGTCATATTCTTTAAAAAAGATGCATCCCAAGATGGTTTCAAAATCTTAAAAAGAATAGGAAGTGCTCTCGAGAATCTTTCAATTTTTTTCAAAAACAAAACAAAACAGTTTCCAAGATTTTTTAAATTCTTACAAAATGAAAATCCAAGGGGTTATGGAGAATTTTTACATCCTTTGAAAAAGAAAAATACTAAGGAGCTCCCAAGATTCTCCAAAACCTTAAAAAAACACAAGGTGCCCCCGAGATTCTTTCAAAAATAAAATATAAGAGGCCTCCAAAATCCTTGACATTCTCTAAAAAAGAAACACATTAGGGGATGGTGATGAAGAAAGAAAGATAGGAAGAAAGAAGGAAAGAAGGAAGGATAAAAGAAGGAAGGAAGGAAGAAGGAAGGAGAGAAGGAAGGGACCAAAGAAAGAAGTAAGAAAGAAATAATGAAAAAGAGGAGGAAAGAGGAAAGAAAGAAAGAAAGAAAGAAATAAGGAAGAAAAGAAAGATACGTAGAAAGAAAGAAAGACCGTGGAGAGAGAATTTGTCATATTCTTTAAAAAATATGGATCCCAAGATACTTTCAAAATCTTAAAAAGAATAGAAAGTGCTCCCGAGAATCATTCAAATTTTTTCAAAAACAAAACACCAGAAGTTTCCAAGATTTTTTAAATTCTTACAAAATGAAAACCCAAGGGATTATAGAGGATTTTTTACATCCTTTGAAAAAGAAAAATACCAAGGAGCTTCCAAGATTCTTCAAAATCTTTAAAGAAAATTGGAGACGGTTCTAAAATCCTTCACATTCTTTAAATCTTTAAAAGAGAAACAAATTAGGGGATGGTGATGAAGAAAGAAAGGTAAAAAGAAAGAAGGAAAGGTAAAAGAAGGAAATGCAGATGGAACGAAGGAAAGAAAGAAGAAAAGATAGAAGGAAGGAAAAAGAAGGAAAGAAATAAGGAAGAAAAGAAAGAGAGACAGGAAAAAAGAATGACTGTGGAGACCTGCTAGATCCTTTCACTTATTTTTAACTAAGACACTAGAGGCTCAAAATTCTTTTTTCAAACTCTTTCAAAATGAAAACACAAGGGGTTCTAGAGACTTTTTCACATCCTTTGAAAAAGAAAAATACTAAGGAACCCCTAGATTCTTTCAAAGTCTAAAAAACACAAGGGACCTTCGAAATTATTTACATTTTTTAAAAAAGAAACACTAGGAGACGTTGAGGAAGAAAGAAATAAAGAAGGAAAGAATGAAAGAAAGAAGCAAGGAAAGAAGGAAGGAAGGAAAGAAGGGAAGAAAGGAACAAGGAAACAAAGGAATGTATAAAGAAAGAAAGAAAGAAAGAAAGAAAGAAAGAAAGAAAGAAAGATAGAAAGAAAGAAAGAAAGAAAGAAAGAAAGAAAGAAAGAAAGAAAGAAAGAAAGAAAGAAAGAAAGAAAGAAAGAAAGAAAGAAAGAAAGAAAGAAAGAAAGAAAATAAAGAAGAGAGAAGGAAATAAAGGAAAATCTTGTGGACTTGCGAGATTCTTCCATTTTTTAAAAGTATGTCACTGGGGACTCAAGATTC